CTAACACTCGCTGAGTGCCAAAACATCAGTAAACAATGGCTTGGCAACGTAGCAAAGCTGGAAAAGTTAGTTTTGTTAAAGATCCGCACCAAACTACATGATTTAATTCTAATTGTGTGAATGATCATCTGAATTCTGATTATAAGTGATTATTCATTCATTTTCTTTTCGGCTTAGTCCCTTTATTAATCTGGGGTTGCCACAGTAGAATGAACCGCCAACTTATCCAGCATTTGTTTTACACAGCGGATGCCCTTCCAGCTGCAACCCATCACTGGGAAACATCCATACACTTTCATTCATACATATATACTACGGACAATTTACTTTTCCCAATTCTATACCACATGTCTTTGGACTTGTGGGGTAAACCGGAGCACCTGGAGGAAACCCACACGAACACAAGGAGAACATGCAAACTCCACACAGAAATGCCAACTGACCCAGCTGAGGCTTGAACCAGCGACCTTCTTGCTGTGAGGCGATTGTGATACCACTGTGCCACCATAAGGGAAGAAAGGTGATTTAAGTGACTTTGAACGTGGCATGGTTGGTAGTGCCAGACGGGCTGGTTTGAGTATTTCAGAAACTGCTGATGTACTGGGATTTTCACATACAACCAGAAAATGGTTCACAGAGAATGGTCCGAAAAAAGAGTAAATATCCAGTGATTGGCAGTTCTGTGGGCGCAAATGCCTTGTTGATGCTAGAGGTCAGAGACTGGTTCCAGCTGATAGAAAGGCAACAGTAACTCAAATAACCACTTGTTGCAACCGAGGTATGCAGAAGAGCATCTCTGAACACACAACACGTCAAACCTTGAGGCTGATGGGCTACAGCAGCAGACCACACCGGGTGCCTCTCCTGTTAGCTAAGAACAGGAAACTGAGGCTACAATTCACACAGAATTAGACAATAGAAGATTGGAAAAATGCTGCCTGGTCTGATGAGTCTTAATTTCTGCTGTGACATTCAGATGGTAGGGTCAGAATTTAGCGTCAACAACATGAAAGTATGGATCCATCCTGCCTTGTATCAATGGTTCAGGCTGGTGGTGGTGGTGTAATGTTGTGAGGGATTTTTTCTTGGCACACTGTGGGCCCGTTAGTACCAATTGAGCATCGTGTCAACGCCACAGTCTACCTGAGTATTGTTACTGACCATTTCCATCTCTTTATGACCACAGTGTTTTGTTGGCTACTTCCATGTGATAAAGCACGAATCATCTCAGACTGGATTCTTCACTGTACCCATATTGACTCCAAAGTCACCAGAACTCAATCCAATACAGCACCTTTGGGATGTGGTGGAACGGGAGATTCACTTTATGGATGTGCAGCCGACAAATCTGCAGCAACTGCGTGATCATGTCAATATGGACCTAAATCTCTGAGGAATATTTCCAGTATCTCGTTGAATCTATCCTACGAAGGATTAAGGTAGGTCTAAAGGCAAACGGTGGTTCAACTAGTTGTACCTAATAAAGTGGCCGGTGAGTGTATGTTGAGCGCTGTATGTATATTTATTTTTTCTCTATGTGAAGGCGAAGTGTAATTGAATGCTGTTTGTACAGCACGGCTTTCCTTTTTGGTCTCTTTTGTCGCTGCAAATTTGTACAATGACAGCATAAGCTTCCACGGCCTTTACCTGACAAAGTTTCAGGTTGCTTTAGATTAATGGTCCCACCATTTTGGACACGCATTGCTGAGCAGCTTGACAACCCGAGCGCTTCGTTCACTCATCCATCTTAACAGCAAATTTAGTAACAAGCATGCTGTCAAACCAAGGTGCTTCATTCAGAACAACAAAACGAATGGCGAAGAATGCGAGTCATGCTAACCTGACTATTTTTACTGCTCAATCTCAGTAAGCGTCTTATTTTAGCAATGATTTGACATTGAGTCTGGGTTTTACTTGAGGACATGAACAAGCAGAGTTGCCTTTTTTCATAATATTATCTCTGCATATAACACTGGATGTTTCTTGAAGAAATCTTGTTTGAGGTAACTTCTGATCAGTTGCACACAATATACTATTTAGGGTGCTTTTACACTTGGATCAATTGCCTGGACCATACCCAAGTTCAATTGCCACCTTTTCAGTTGGTTTGTGTTCACACTGTCTTTTTTCCTTCTGAACCCGGGTACGCTTGCATCATCAAGCTGTTGTTGTGCTACAGTAGGTGACAGACACGAAAGCAAAGCACCAAAACGGAAAGATGTCTGCACATCGCGGTCATTCTGCTTTTACTGAATCTTTTGGTTTTGGGCATACAGAAAGCGACTTGCGTCCATCTGCCGCAAAACTATTCTAAACGTTCAGGACATCACTGCTTTTGAAAGAGACAAGCAGACATTATCACTGTGATTGCCCTGGCTCAGTCCCGCTTGTCACTAAGGTACAGTACGTGATACACAGACACACACACATGAATGAATGTTTTAAAAAATGGTGTCGTACAGTTGGCGGTTCACTTTCGTTATTTGGTACGATTGCAGTCATACTAGAGCAGGGGTCGGCAACCCAAAATGTTGAAAGAGCCATATTGGACCAAAAAAAACAAAAACAAATATGTCTGGAGCCGCAAAAAATTAAAAGCCTTATATAAGCCTTATAATTATGGCAACACATGCTGTATGTATTTATATTAGCTATATTAGCCTACTATAAAAATGACTTCGTTGGCTACAAATACATACTGAGCCTTCATGATTAAATGTTCATTTCCCTGCAGTGCATCCTGTAGAGAATGACGCGCCACGTGACTACTCTGTTGTACGATGCCGTCTCAAGTTTAACTTAATTACAGTATATTAATGAATTATGTTTAACGTTCAAGTTTAACTTCATTACAATATTAATGAATTGTTTAATGATCAAGTTTAACTTCATTACAATGTTAATGCATTATGTTTAATTATCAAGTTTAACTTCATTACAATATTAATGAATTATGTTTAATTATCAAGTTTAACTTCATTAAAATATTAATGAATTATGTTTAATGATCAAGTTTAACTTCATTACAATATTATTGCATTATGTTTTGCTTTGATGAAATTAAAGAAATGCAATAAAGAAATCAGATTTTTTAAAATGTTTTTTTTATTTTATTTTGAGGATTCCAAAAAACAACATTAAAATTAACGTGCACAACGTGCCCCTTATCTGGGCAACAGTGCAATAAAACGCAGCCTGCCATTTCCATTTCAAGATCAGCTCGAGTCATTCCTGGGAATGTGCTCAACAAGGAAGGGTTAATCTCCAGGGGTGTGTGTCAAGGAAAGACAGTCTCGTTTTTTCCTTTCGGAACTCGCAAAATCTGCTCTCAAATGCAGTTTGCATATCAACGATCGCACCTTGTAAATAATCACCGTTGAGTGAGTGATCGGGATGGGCTTCTTTGAATTCTCTCAGGGAGGGACAATGAGAAAGCGTGCCCCGCTGTACATCTTTGGCAAAGACAGCTTGCGCTCCATGGCGCATCACACAGCCGCCGGTTTGTTTACAACAGCTACCTGCCTGGCATCCCGCCCTGCTGATAGAAACGTGTGTCGCAGGCTATGACGCAAATCTTCGTTGACAGAAATGTTGAAATTAAATATTCTACACACTTTTACAGCATTGGAAAACGTTAAGATTGTTTGTCCTCCTATAGAAACCATATTAAAACAAAAAATATATTTACCTCCCTCATCGTTTTTCATTTTCAAACATTTTTTGAAAAAGTTCCAGGGAGCCACTAGGGCAGCGCTAAAGAGCCGCATGCGGCTCTAGAGCCACGGGTTGCCGACCCCTGTACTAGAGTTTGCGTGAACCATACCCCAGACCACCCTCTTTCAGGCAGACTCGGGTACGGTTCACACATGTTCACACTAGCTAATTGTACTGTACTCTGACATCAAATGAACCCTGGTGCTGACCAAAAGTGCTAGTGAGCCCTATCCCTAGGGTGCTTTCACACTTGGTTCAATTGCCTGGACCGAACCCAAGTTCGATTTTCCCCCCCTTTCCACCCTCTCAGCTGGTTTGTATTCACACCGCCGTTTTTCGTTCTGAACCCCGGTACGCTTGCACCATCAAGCTGCTGTTTTGTGTACAGCTGTTGCTGGGTGACGGCCACAAAAGCAAATCGCCAAAATGGAGACGTCCACATATCATGGTCAGTCTGCTTTTCCTGAATCTTTTAGTTTTGTTACCGAATCAACTATACAGAGAGCCACTTGCGTCTATCTGCCTCAAAAAATATCACGCGATGTCTACAGAAGTCGTTTTAGATGGAGACAAGCAGACATTATCACTGTTTGCATGGGTTCAGTCCCTCGTGTCACCAAAGTAGGTGATATACAGACACACACACACGAATGAACGTTATGAAAACTAAAGTTTATTGTACAGTTGGCGGTTCACTTCCATTATTTTCCACAATTGCATTCATATCAGAAGTGAACCGTACCAGAGTTCGCACAAACCTTACCCCAAACCAACTTTTTAAGTTGGACTTGGGTATGTTTCACAAATTCAGGAGACACTTTCGCACTAGCTAAACGTACTTTACTCTGACGCCTAACGAACCCGGGTGCGGAGCAAAAGTGCTAGTGTGAAAGCACCCTTAGTGTCCTGTGCTCAAAATGCATCTAAAGCCATCAATGTATCTGATGGTTTGGATTCATTTTAATAAACATCATATTTCAATAGAAAATCCATTAGAGGAAATATTGAGTTCTTTGAAGACAAGTTATCTGAACATAACTCTACTAGCAAAACAAAAGTGCTCATATTAAAAGGGATATTTAAGTGCTTAATTGTTTAAAAAACATGGATAGATGAAAGATATAATTCACCGATATATTATAACAATAGGAGTTCATGATTCTTTCATGCACATTTCAAAATGATGGCCTCTGAAGTAAATGAAGGGAAACACAGTTATCACTGTTTAACAATATTTTTACTGCCCCCTCCTTAGTATCATTTTGGACCATTAAATGGAATTGTTCTTGGCGTGAAATGCGATTTATTGCTGTGTCCTTTGGTAAGCCTGAACCAACACTGTATATTATTCTTTCCCTAAAACTGCATCGGTATATTTATCAAAGCTGTCCAAAAACACAATTTGATGTTATATAGACGCACACGTGACCAGTAAAAGGTGTTTTAAGATTTGAAAACAGTGTAATAACTGTATCCTATCACAGTTTAAAACACCAGGTGATGGTCATCGTATCATTTCCATTGATGCCAAACGTCTCCAGACCGGCTCGTGTTCTCTGCGCTTGCATCATTGAAGGCGAATAAAGTTCAGGGTTCTGCAAGTTGAGATCAGAGCGTTATAGTCATCAACAACACATCTCACAATGCAGTGGCCCGCTTCAAAAACCTGAGAACAGAAAAGCATTAGTAGCTTGCTGATTGGTCACGATCGTTGCAGTCAAGTCAAATCGAGCCAGTCGGGTTTCTTGTGTAGTTTACAAGTGTGGACGTCCACCGTTTCCTCGCAGTCTCTGCACTCCACAGCGCAGCACCATTTAAACTTGCACTCGCATTTGGTCATGCGGTTTACACGGGTGGTGTCGTACCCGCGGCCGCAGCACATGATCTCACAGCCGTCCATGCCTCTGGAGGACTTGTTGCACACCCGTCCTGACGTACCCAGAGAACCTAAAATATAAACACAGGAAAAGAATTCAGCATATATGAGAGTTATTATTTGTGTTAATGGGCCATTCACATTTTCCTGAAAGAAGTTTTCTTTAAATCAGAGCCTTCTTTCTTTATGAAAATATACCATGGTAGCTGTAGTTGTTGCCTTAGGGCAACTGGACTGTTTTCAAGTATTTCACCTCAAAACCATTATAACAACTCTCTATATTTGTGACAAATGTATTATTGGACTCTTAACCCTTCATAGGACTTACATTGAAACACTTATTGGAAAAGCCTAGAATGTTACTAAGGCTGCGTCTGAAATCGCCTTACTGCTCATGTAGGTACAATACTACATTTGAATTTGAATTTACTACACCACCCTTAGAAAAGTATGTTTCATGTAGTATGAACGGAACTTGGACGTACACTACTTGACAAAAGTCTTGATCCAAGTTGTAAGAACAACAAATAATAACTTGATTACTAGTTGATCATTTAGAAAAGTGTAAGAAGGTATGTTTTTCCGATGAATCATCTGTTGAACTGCATCCCAATCATCACAAATACTGCAAAAGACCTATTGGAACCGGCATCGACCCAAGATTCTCACAGACATCTGTCAAGTTTGTTAAAGGAGAAATCGTGGTTTGTGGTTGCATTCAGTATGGGGGCGTGCGAAAGATCTGCAGAGTGGATGTCAACATCAACAGCCTGAGGTATCAAGACATTTGTGCTGCTCATTACATTACAAACCACAGGAGAGGGCAAATTCTCCAGCAGTATAGCGCTCCTTATACTTCAGCCTCCACATCAACGATCCTGAAAGCAAAGAAGCTCAAGGTGCTGCCGGATTGGCCAGCCCAGTCACCAAAAATGAACATTATTGAGCATGTCTGGGGTAAGATGAATGAGGAGGCATTGAAGATGAATACAAAGAGTCTTGATGAACTCTGGAAGTCCTGCAAGTACGCTTTCTTTGCCATCCCAGATGACTTTATTAATAAGTTATTCGAGTCATTGCAGAGATGTATGGATGCAGTCTTCCAAGCTCATGGGAGTCATACACAATGTTAATTCTTTTTCGACCGCACCGTGACTTTATATTCTATACTGTATGTTATTTCTGTTAAGTGACAAGACTTTTGTGTAAGCAGAGTCAGACCTTACTGTCCTTATTAAAACATTAAAAATCATGCCATGATCATATTTTATTTTGGTAAAATAAGCATAATCCAGAGGTCTTTGCCTTTCGTATAAGCCCCTATTGACACCAAATGATCAAATAGAAGTCACGTTATTATTTGCTGTTCCTGAAACTAAGATAGGCGACAAGACTTTTGTCAGGATGTGTACTATATCCGTAATTTGTCCTTATCATGTGAACTACCGGCATCGGTTGCGTCGCTTTACTCCCAATCATGAATTCCCTCATACAGCATCATGGTATAGAATAGCGTCCATCGGATGCACAATTCAGAATCTTGCTGGAAGTAGTAGGGCATCCGGGTTCTTCTCGCACACTGTTTTTTGAATTCTATTAATTTAGACACACTACTCGGATTGCATACTGTTTTTAGCACACTGTATAGTATTGAAGTATGCGATTACGGATGCAGCATAAGACTTCAATTTTCATGACTTACAAAAATGTATTATAATTAATGTAAATGAAATGACCATATATGGTGAAATACTTTATTGGCTCCATAGTTCAGTAAAGATCTCAGTGAACCAAACATGTAAGCTTTCCATTATACAAGTTTTTTATAGTAAAAATCCTTTCCTTTAGAATTTTTATATTAGATACACTGAGAAAAAAACGTTCATTGAATGTTCTTAAGGAAACAAACAAAAAATGCACTTTTTAATCAATTAACAAATTAATTTAGTGCAATTATGTGATGTATTAATATGTTAGGAGTTATTGCATTATTTTATTGCATTGCAGTAATTAAAGTTGTGAGTGAAATAAGCTGTCATGTAAAAAACCAAAACATTTACTACTGAAAAAATGTTTTGAGCTTGTCCACTTTCAATGTCAAAAATGCGTTTGATCGGCTTGCTTTCAGTCATACATTTGATGTAATGCAGTGATCCCAACCTCCGGGCTGTGGACCGGTACCGGTCTGTGGATCAATTGGGATCGGGCCACACGAAAAATCAATTAATTATTTCTGTTTTATTTATTGTTTGAGTCTGATCTTTTATTTTAAAAAATACTTTATTTAGAGGAAAAAAAAAAACCTTCTCTCGGTTACATCTTGATCACGCAAATCCTAAAATTTAACCCACAAGCTAACGTTAGCAAAATGAGTAAGAAACAAACACCTTTGTAAAGTTTCTTTGCGAAGGGGAAAAGGCCCAGTGAAAGAGCCACGAACTGCCATAGAATGGATCCGCAACCCATTTGTCAACAAATCAGGTGAATCAAGCATGTCTGTGCAAGAAGATCAACTCTTAGAGATCGCAAATGATAGCAGCCATTCACATATTGTGTCTTTTCCATGCACAATTGCATTATTTCCAATGGAGACATACGGCGCATATTGGGAGCGCCATCAAGCATGTCTGTGCAAGAATATCAACTGCTGGAAATCGTAAATGACGTCTGCCGTTCACATATCGCATCTTTTCTGTATCATTTCATTTCAAGGTCAATACTTTCAATGGTTCCGTGCAGTTTGGGAGCGCTTCATATTTTCATTTTGTATGGAATATTCATATTTTGTATGGAATATGCACATTTTGGTAGACTAACAATATCAGACAAAGACTGCAGTGTTTTTTTATTGTCTCCATAAATAAAACGTGTTCGCCTAGCAATCTACCCACTCACACCCTGGGCCGCGATAATATTGTCAAGCATTGACCGGTCCGCAGTGATAAAGGTTGGGGACCCCTGATGTAATGCATTTATGAGCCATGATCACTATAATACATGTTGTTAAAAAAAAGTACACCAAAACAAGAATTGCTTTGCACTTTAGCAAAGTGCATGGAATATGATCAACATTGTGGTTGTTCTCCAAATCCTTTACACTAGCTTGTTTTCTGCCACGCGAGTGCTCCCAATAAAGTGACCTACTAAGATACACTGCAAAAAATGCTTTTCTTGCTTAGATTTTTGGTCTTGTTTCTAGTCTAAATATCTAAAATTTCTTATATCAAGAAGCATTTTCTAGACAAGCAAAACATATTGTCTTGTTTTGAGAAATAAAATGCCAATATTAAGTCAGTTTTTCCTTAAAACAAGTAAAATAATCTGCCAATGGGGTAAGCAAATTAATCTTGTTTTTTCTTTTGACGTAAGAATATTTTGCTTACCCCATTGGCAGATTATTTTGCTTGTTTTAAGGAAAACCTAATTTTGCATATTATTTCTGAAAACAAGACTATATGTTTATCTTGTCTAGAAAATGCTTCTTGATTTAGGAATTTTAAGATATTTGGACTAGAAACAAGACAAAAAATCTAAGTAAGAAAAGCATTTTTTGCAGTGTATAGAGGACGATAGAATAAAATAGATGAGTCCAAAACTCCAAACATATGCCATAGTTACAAAAATGTGGAAAACAGTCAATTGTCTTGGCTGACTACTTAAGATTGGATTTCTGAAAATGCTTGACCTAAATAGTGTCTCAATGCTAATATTTTTTAAGTCTTTCTTTGGATTTATGGTTGAAAGATTAATAATTTGATGCAAAAACACCTTCTTCATTGCTTACCTGCTGATCGGTCCATTAGGCAGTAGTCCGGAGAGTTCTCAATGTACACAAGATCATTTTTGGTCGTTCTCTTGTAATCTCGATCTGCCACCATGAAGCCTGTACCATCCTGGTTCATCATGACCTCCACAGCAGCGTTGTACTTCTTTCTCAAGTAGTCCCCCGTTCGGCGGAAATCAGACATAGCCAGCCAGCATGTCCTGAGAGCACATGACCCACTGACTCCATGACACTTGCATTCAGTCTTCATAAAACGCTTTACTGCCTACAGAAAACAAAACCCAACCCATGACCTACGAAGCACTCCATAACCCAGATTAAAAGACAGACTGCTTCAGGGTCATAACCTGTTTATCTGCTGGGATTTATTTTGCAATGATAATCAATCAACATGTCTGGGCACTCACCATTCTCCCACAGCGGTTGTTGTGCAGATTCATCAGTGCTCTGGCATCCTTGACCATTCTCTCTCGGGCATCCACGAAAGCTTTGGCAAACTTGATGCCGTAGTTGATGTTGTCACTGCAGCCGCCCCAGTCAAAGTCCCCGTCTTCATCGCTCGCCCGGCCTCTCCTCTGGCTGTCGCAACTGCAGATCTTCAGTTCTCCTTGACTGCAAGCCCTGGTGATGGCATACACCACACCCGCAGAGGAAATTGCATAGACAAATGCTGCTTCACGGCTACCTAGAACAGAAAAAACATCATTAATAGCATGTTAAAATGCACAGTACAGAATTCTGTGTTTTGGTGTCAAAATGGGTCATGTTTCAGGACTAGAAATGAACCTTTCTGCTTGGTAACACTGGTGCTCCTATCTTTAAACATGTGGTGGCACCAGCCAAAAATGTAGTTGCACCCACCAAGAATTAAGTCCACTATTGTTACAAGTTTTATATTAACAGATTTATTACATTTGAAATCAACACTAATCAAAACTAACAAACAACAACAAAATCGGTATAAGCCCACCCGGCCCTGCATACACTGCTTGATGTCAATGAGATGAACTTAACGATAATAACTGTGATGTTCTCATTGGTGCTGTCTGATTTTGCAGTTGATATTAACATATACAGTGCATCCGGAAAGTATTTATAGAGCTTCACTTTTTCCACATTTTTTTATTTTACAGCCTTATTCCAAAATGGATTAAATTCATTTATTTCCTCAACATTCTACACACAATACTCCATAATGACAATGTGAATTTTTTTTTGTGGAAATTGTTGCAAACTTATTAAAAAATAAAAAACTGAAAAATCACATGTACAGAAGTATTGACAGCCTCAATACTTTGTTGATGCACCTTTGACAGCGATTACAGCCTCAAGTTTTTTTTTGAACATGATGAGCAGTGCCTGGTTTTCTCTAAATGTAACGCCTGGCATTCACTCCAAAGAGTTCAATTTGAGTCTCATCAGACCAGAGAATTTACTTTCTGAGGGTCTGAGAGTCCTTTAGATGCCTTTTGGCAAATTCCAGAAGGGGAGTGTCTTCCGTCTGGCCAACATACAGGCCTGATTGGTGGATTGCTGCACAGATGGTTATCCTTCTGTAAGATTCTCCTCTTTCAACAGAAGAACGCTGGAGCTCGGACAAAGTGACCATCAGGTTATTGACCAACTTCCTGACTAAGGGCCTTCTCCCCCAATGACTCAGCTTAGATGGCCGGCCAGCTCTAGGAAGAGTCCTAGTGGTTCCAAACATCTTCTACTTACGGCTGATGGAGGCCACTGTGCTCATTGGAACTTTCAGAGCAGCAGTTTTTCTGTAACCTTCCTCAGCCTTGTGCGTCAAGACAATCCTGTCTCAAAGGTCTAAAGACAATTCCTTTGTCTTCATGCTTGGTTTGTGCTTTGACATGCACTGTCTGGCACCTTATATAGACAGGTGGTGTATGCCTTTTTAAATCATGTCCAGTCAACTGAATTCACCACAGGTGAACTCCAATGAAGCTGCTGAAACATTTCAAGAATGATCAGTGGAAACAGAATGTAGCTGAGCTCAATTTAGAGCTTCATGACAAAGGCTGTGAATACTGATGTACATGTGATTTTTCAGCTTTTTTATTTTTAATAAATTTGCAGCAATTTAAAAAACTCTTTTTTCACATTGTCATTATGGGATATTGTGTGTAGAATTGTGAGGAAACTAATGAATTTAATTAATTTTGAAATGAGGGTGTAACATAAAAAAATGTGGAAAAAGTGAAGCGCTATTAATACTTTCCGATGCACTGTAACTTATTATTTGCATACTTCATCTTAATAGCAATAAGGGTAATGAGCTGCAATATTAGTTTATTCTTAGTAAATACAAGCCCTTTTGCAAAGGTGTACACAGTATTGAACTTTACAGATAGCTGCCACTTGCATGGCTGACAGCATCCTAGCAATTAAATGAAGAATTAAATAGAACTCACGCTTAAAATGGGTAGATTCAGTGACAAACACTGTTACCTGCAAACTCTGTCCCACAGATTTTACAGTGAATGGCTTTAGGAGTCTTATCCACTCTTTAAAAAGTGTATCACTAATTAGATTTGTAACTTTAGGTGGTTTCTAACATTATTTGTAACTTTAGGTCGTTTCTAAAACAAAATACGTCAGTGTTATTTTCATTTTCTCATCCTCAGCACTTTCCGCGGTCGTAGCTCCAAGTCAAAAGTGTTGACTGTATTATATTAACAAATCCATTCACATTCAGTTCTGGAGCAGTGCATCAATCAGAAGAGCTTGAAGGCAGGTCGGGCATTGTGGAATTAGTTTACTTTAGAAAGATGACATGACGACTGTTTTAAACTAATCCCGAGTGCTGGGTTTTCTCGTTTTTAGGTGCAAAGATGCATTCTGCGTGAATGCCTTCTAGATCTGCGCACGCGGTGAACATTTTGCAGTGAAAACCTGTCGCACGGCAACAAATTTTATGCACCTGCACAAATGCTCCCAAATATATTTTGAAGTCGCATAGATAAAATTATGGGCACATATGCGACTAAAGCCATCGCAATTTAAAATTTGAAGTCTGAAATACTTGTTTTTGATTGGTCTGTCATGACATTCCAAGGTATCTTATTCCCAGATAGCTACCGCTGAAAAACTAATAACACAGGCTCATCTGGGTATTTCAAATCAACTTGACTGTCAGTGAATACATTCACATCTATTATTAACAAACTTGTTTGTCACCCTGCTGGTTTTAAACGTTTGGTGCCGACTTGTGACTGAATAATATCAAAGTCCCTTTAAATGGTTCTCAATTTCGGTCCTCGCCCTGAAATTGAGCCCCTAATAATATGTAGGTTAGTATATGCTTCATTCAGCCATTTTGCAAATAAGCCTGTCGTGCTTTATGCTAGCTAATGAAGCATACAACAACCTGTGCATTATTTAGTCACACTATGGAGGCAAACTGTCAAAAATGAAAAGGTGACAGAAACAAAACCGGTTGAATGATATTAACCTATGTACTATTCATTCACAAGATGGTACCAAGCAGATAGAAATGAATGTGGATGCAAGTAAAAGGATGTGGACGTTTTCAGTCACAGTCAATGTGATTCAAAGTTTCCGGACAAGTCTGGGTTATTTAGCAGTTGTTATCTTAGTATAACATACCTTGTTATATCTCGAGTGACCAATCAGAAGCAAGTATTCCAGACAGCTGTTTAATAATCTGTGATAACAACTACCTGAATGTACTTATGTTTATTTTAGTGTAAACCTGGCTAAATTAATAGTTGTCAGAATGTGTTTTAGCACAAAAAAACTCCCCTTGTCGGTTGTTTAAAAATGCCACGCAAGCAGATGAGGTGTAAGGCTCTTACTATAGTGTTAAATCCACTGCGGTTTTGTTATATCAACTCTTTAACATCATTCCCAAATTTAAGCCCCTCGCCTTGTTTAAGTGCGGGAGGCAACCCCGACATTCAGCTGATTCAAGCTGACACTCCTTCACCTTTAGTTTCTTTGGTCGATTGCACACGTAGCCTCGAGGTGTGTTTTTTTGCCAAAGTAGCTCAAAATGACCCCTATTTTGCTCGTTTTCTTCCTGCAGCTCGTGCACTGAGCCAGAACAGAGGGCGATATGTCAAAAAGAGCAGCTTTGTCTGTCTGCCAGAGTCATCTGCACAAATATTTACATCTCCTATTACTGTTTATATATCAGCCTGTAGAGAGCCCCCTCCGAAACAGCCACTTGTATTTGGAGAATATCCACTCTCTGTCAGAATTTCGCCTATTCTTGGGAAGTAGAGATTCCATAGCCTATTTCCCCTCAATTTTCCCATGTGATGTGATTGTTTTATTGAGAGATTGTAAAATTTGTTCTGTTTGCATACAATGCTCTGCGGTTCCTCTATTACTGTACAGGTTAAAAAAAACTGAAGCTTCATAACACTGACTACATTTGCATGGACATAATTTCATTAATTTGATTACTAATGTCCATGTAAACGTAGTTAATATGGTGTGAGGGTTGATTGATAGCGAAGGTGATTAAATAGAAGGTTGCATAGTTTGTCTTATTACTGTATGATTTTAATAATAATGTAATACTGTAACACAAACACTAACTGCGCAACATGACGCGGCCGAACACAGTGTGGTCTCGCTCCAGCGTGCTGCAGTTCCAGCGATGGTGTCGGAACTGGTGCTGGCATTCCCGAATCCACTCTTTGGCTCCTTGTCCAATTGATTGCATGAGGTCTGGGTGTCTTTGGCAGAGTTGCCTCTGTTTGTTCACCAGTCCTGGAATGTTGTCACATATGACCCGTGCTCCTAACGCACCAATGTACCTGCAGAAACAAACAGACAATTAAGTTTTTGTAGTGTCTGAAATTGTGTTGCAGTTTTTCTGGCTAACATCTATAATAATGAAAAATTACCCTGCTTGAACATCAGAAACCAACTCCATAGATTGTGGTTTCAGTTAGCCGGCTCTTTTGGGTTATCTCTGTATGAAACCAAACTATTCCATTTCATGTTTGCAATACTTTAATACACAGTTCTCAGGAATTCTTCGTCAATCACTCTGCGGTCAAATATATTTTTTGTGTAACGACCACCAGATTGAATAATTACCTGTTTTCATAGCCAACTGATTTCCTATAGCTGTTAGTTTCAAGTCTCAGTCTGTTTCTCCTCACTTAATAAAATAACTTCAACTCAAACCAATAGTTATGCCCATTTATTTATTCATTTATTTACAATTTTTTGTGATAATGATACCCCTGTGATACTTCACTGTGTCCGAAACAAAATCGAATAATTATGATTGCGCCTCAAGGAGTCTAAAAGGAGTAGTTCACCCAAAAACTTCCAAAGCAGGGAACACTGTTTCATATGTGAGCATCAAAAACCTTTTCTAAGTATGCATTCTACATGATCACTGTGCAAATGGGCCACAGCTCAGTACTAGTCCGTGGATCAGTTGGTACCAGGCTGCACAAGAAATCAATAATTATTTCCATTTTATTTATTTGTCTGAACAATCTTTTATTTTGAAAATCTTTTATTTTGATAAATTACCATATTCTTTCGGTTACATCCTGGTCACTTTAGCGTCCAAATTTAACCCAGAAGCTAGCAAAATGAGTAAGAAAGTCTTTGGAAAGTTTCTTTGTGAAGGGGAAAAGACGCAGTGAAGAACCAACAAACTGCCAAGGAATGGATCAGCAACCCATTTGTCAACAAATGTAATGTAATGTAATGTAATTTATACAAATCAGGGGAATCCACCATGTCTGTGCAAAAAGATCAACTTTTAGAGATCGCAAATGATGGCAGCCATTCACATATTGCGTCTTTTCCACGCACAAGTGCATTATTTCCCATGGAGACATACGGCGCATATTGAGAGCGACGTGCACAAGTGCCAAAACGCACTTTGTTCTTGTTGTCAATTGTGGAAAAAAGTTGGATAAACATGTGATGATAAAGCACTGTGAGTTTAACTGCAGGCGCTGCCAGATGCACATGCATGTGAAGCGGAGACAGATATGTCTGGGAAGTCAGATTTTGATAAAACTTTCCTTCACCTGCTTTTGCGGGTGGGCCCACGCAGTATGTGCTATGCACTGGTTACTACTAACTAAATGGAGCATGAGCACTCAGTTATGGTTTGTTAAATAAGTTGCATTTAAAATGTACATTTGGAAATCGCCCAAATTTTCTCCAACCGCCTATGCCATTTTTACCTACAAAATCAAATTCAAAACCGCTTAATCTGGCAACACTGTTTAAGTTGCATGTTTATTGTGAGGCAAGTGTATATTGTGAGGAAAGTGTATATATATATATATATATATATATATATATATTCATATATATATATATATATATATATATATATATTTTTTTTTTTTTTTTTTTTTTTTTATGCTGCTCTAAGCTAAATGGGCAACATCAGCTATAAAGTAAATTGGAACTCATGTATTTGAAACCACTTTTAACCTTTAAACTAAGAACAAAAATATTGTTTTTGAAAGTATATACATAATGAGGTCTTGTGCTGCATTCCAGATATCTCGAAATTGGGATTTCCCTACCTACATGGATATAACATCTAGAATAGCACTTTAAGTCAGACATCTGAGATTTGACATCACTTCACAGATGATGGCCAGTCCAGCTTCAGTGAACAATTAGTAGAAAGCAACTTCGTGATTAATGTAAAAATTAACATTTCAATTTTAAGCACTTTTATAGCACAAACTGTGTAGAACTCTACTAATAAATGGGTAACACTTTACAATAAGGTTCATTAGTTAATGCATTTACTAACATGAGCTAATCATGAACAACACATGTAGAGCATTTATTAATCATAATTGAACATTTACTAATGCATTAATAACATCAAAGTCCATGCTTGTTAACATTAGTTAATGCACCATGAGTTAACATGAACTAACAATGAACTACTGTATTTTCATTAACTAACGTTAACTAAAATAAACAAATACAGTAGTAAATGTATTGTTCACTGTTTGTTCATGTTAGTAAATGCAATAATTAACATTAACTAATGAACCTTATTGTAAAGTGTGACCAATAAATGCTATTTCTGAGACGATATTAGCTTTATAGTGCAATATGTTTTATACAGTTTGCTTCTTGTCAGCGGTGTTGTGCTTGTTAATGAAAAAAAGTAACCAGTTACTAGTTACTTCATTAACTCAATTACTTTATCGATTACTCACACCAAAAAGTAATGAGTTACTGTTAAAAGTAATTTTTGAGTTACTTTTTCTAAGAACATTTTTAATGCTACCATTAATGCCCTTATAACGTCACTTCAGTGCTGCATGGAGAATACACTGTTGACCAGCTTTACAGTTTTAATTAATTTGCATTCTCAGAACTAAAACACAAAACAAAGTTAAATAAAAAGTTATTTTTAAACACCAATTTATTTAAGTCAGACCTGCAGCAAAAAAAGTCATGTATATGTCATGTAAATGGTGATAAACCAGCTGAATAATATATTCAGAACCAAAAAAGCAAAAAGCAATGTTGCTTCATCATCATAAAGGTTTGCATTTAACCCTTAAACATGTTCCTTCACAGCTTGAATATGAAAATAGTGCCTATATACAACAAACACAAAACCTTTATGAAATAAACAAATGAAAGTAATCTGAATTATCATTCTGAATCCATTTGGTGAAATTCAGAACCAAAAAAAACTGTTATTATAGGCAGCCATACATTTTATGCATTTTAACAAAACAGAACAGAACAGCTGCTCAAAAATGAAATAAGCAATTTTCAAACTAACCACAAATTAAACAGGGTATATCAACAACGTATGGAAAGTAAGCTGGGTATATTCAAAGAGCAAAACAGTTGTATATCCAGGGTGTCCGCAGGGTCTTAAAAAGTATTAAAAACTGATCAATTAATTTAGAGAATTTAAGGCCCTTAAAAAAGTTTTTAAAAGTCTTAAATACTATTTTTATTACATTTTGTATTAGTGTGCTAAAGTTTGCCTGAATTGAATCACTTTATATTGGGATGCTGTGTAGTTTATGAAATCAAACAAATCCTGCTAGATTTTACATTACACTGCTTTGTTTGCTGTAGTAACCAGAGAAACACAGTTATTCCTGCTGTTATTATTCGGTATATAAATACAGTTTTAGTTTAGGATTCGTTTCTTGCAATCAGTGTTTAGTAAAAAGTTTAAAATGGCAATGTTATTGGATGAAACCTGAAGTGGTAGTCTTAAAATGTATGCAAAGAGTCTTAAAAAGGTATTAAAAGGTATTGAATTTCAATCTCTGATTCCTGTATAAATCCTGATACAGCTATAAAATTATGTTTAACAAAAAAAAAAAATTACAGCATTTTTCTGAGCAATACAACACTATACATTTTAAATAACGTGCTCTGAAATGTAACAGAAATGTGTCTGTGTCTACTAAACTAATCAATTTTGTTATACAGGTAACAAATGTGTGCTTGTTTATTTGAAACAACATAGCAGTATTTGTAATAGTAATTAATAATAATATTGTTAATATTCTCTCGATCTCGCCCACACTCAGCCTTCCTCGCATCCATACTGTCTCTTTTACACGCACACTGAGACTGTTTCCCAAAATGCATTCTTCAGTGATCTTGCATCCTAATGAAACGTCATCATCCACCAAAATTCAGTTCAAAACTCAAGACCACAAGAACGGAGGATGCGTGAAAGTTCCCGGATGTGTTCTTGATATCGAGGACACTCAGATGCAGACTTGAGCGCCGAACTCCATCTAGAATATCCAGAAGTCATTGCGACTGGAGGTGGTAAGCGCAACATTTCATACAAATTTATTATTAAAGTTCAGAGATATAACTTATTTAATTTATAATTTCTATAATTTATATAACTTATTAACCTCAGGAGTTTCCCTAAATGAGAAATAATTTTCGGATAAAAATGCGTGAAGGTCAGGAAGAACGCAGCATCTCATTTCACACAGGACGCATTCTGTGATCTCGCGGTCTCCCAAGTTTGTTCTTCCGAGGTGACCTGGCAAGAACAGTCTTTACAAGAATGCAAGTCCATTCTCTGCGTTCTTGGAATTGAGAAACAGCCTCGCTTTTGTCCAGTCTGGTGCCTCCTACATGACGCGTCTTCTTTACAGTGGTTGGTTGGCATCACCAATCCAACAATGCGTCGCTGTAGTAAAAATTAATTATTTATCAAGTAATGGATAAATGCATCATGTTGCTACAGTAACGGAGTTAATGTATTTGAGAAGTAATGCGTTACAGTATTAGTTACTGTCAAAAGTTATGCTGTTACAGTAAAGCATTACTGGTAACGTGTTATTTCCCAACACTGCTCGTCAGTGAGTGAGCTTGCCAAACCACCTGTAGAAACACTCCCCCCTGCTAACTGTATGTTCAGATCGAAAGCAGCGAGAGCGTCTAAGAAGCCGGAAGTCATTAATTTTCAATGGGAGCCGGCGGCGATAAGTATTGAGGAGCAGTGCGGCATATCTTTGCCGATGTGGGCGTTGAGGAGAGTGGAAATCAAGTCAACTTTATGGTAATGAGCTATGATGCTTTTAGGCAGCAAGCAATTAGAATGTAGAAGTCCACCGCCTGAAAAGAGTCCAGAGAACACAGTCACTGTAAACTTTGGTTCCGACCACAGTTGTTCCCAAGGGTTTGATTATTGCGGTCGCCGGATTTCCTATTATTTACAATTTTCTTACAAAAACATACATTAAAAAAAGTTACTGGCGAGTTACTGATGTGCATTAATGTTTTTTTTCTTTCTTAAAAAAAACGGGAATCTTATACGACAATACAAAACAGCCTTGCTGCTTCAGGATATTTCAGACATATGGACACATATTAGATGATTAAGTGGAGCAAAGCCACAGCACATGCAACTTATTGATCTTGCATTGTTAAATGAATTTAATAAAAAGTGTGCAAAATTTTCACGCTAGAAAGCATGATTTTTGCAGGAATGTGACTGATTTGTCAATATGCTGCTACAGCCCCTTAAAATACAACATCAAAGTAGAAATCATTGACGCTCTCACTTCTTCAGTGTGAACTCACAATAACTCTAGCTCTTAACTCTTGGAGCACTAACAGTTCCTTTATATAATTAGCGCTTCTTGTGTGAATTGCCTCTTCTTGTTGAATTGCTTTGGACAAAAATCTAAATGTAAATGTCGTCAGCTCTTTTCAAAGAACAGCTTTTGTTTTTTTAATTAAAAAAAGTTTAAAAGATATGACATTTTACTACTGAAATTCCCAGATCTGACTGTGTCTGGAACACAGCAGCATTACATACATCCCAAAATGTCTAATTAATTTCCAAGATTCTTTCTTAATTAAAGAAAAAACAGTCTATGAAACATTTAGTATTTTAGAATTTACATTTGTCTGTATGCAAAAGGTTTGCAAATTTCCTGCTGAACGTCTTGACAAATAACGGGTGCACTCTGTGTTGAAGTGCACCACACAAACACCCTCAGCGAGGTTTACGCTGTGCTCACGCAGCCTTGTCTCCTTCCCGGATCTCATTATCCAGTCAGTCGTGTCTGGGTTTGTGCGACAGCACTCTGTACAAACCTACTGAACAATTTCCACTCCTCTTATGGCTGTCTCTGTCTCTCTCTCTCACACACACACTGACATACTAGTGCAAACACACAACCCAACGAAAGACTTATTCCTCTCGCTATAGCATCCATGGGAGGGCTGGCTTTGCATGGTTGCCTTGTTGATCCTTGACACACAGAAACACAATCTCACTCTCCCTTTCGGTTCCAGAACACTTATCAGCTGCATGCGGCTGGGATTGGGAAAGGCCGCTGCACGTGAGCCAGAAAAGCGCTACGCGTGAATTGATTGCAACGATGACAACAATCCCCATAACTGTATAAATTACCGTAGGAACTGCGAGATATTTATCACCGCTGGCTCGCACGGTTTTAGGCATACCGCCATGGCTGTCTTGTGGACTCACGCCGTCGAATCCCCACTGCTTTATTGAGGGCAAAAGGGGCCATACGTATGGTTATTTCAACAGAGATGATACTAACGATAACCCTTCTTTTCCCATTCACGAAATGTGGTGTTATTGTCTTGTTTGAGAGAAACTGAGAATTGGATTTAATTGAAAGTATCAAAAATAGCGTGGGCCGAGATTACGTTGTTTACTCAGCTGTGGGGCACTAGGCAGTGCGCTGACTATGTTGATCTTGCTACCTCTGAGACGTGATGGGGAACTTGTGAATGCTGCAATTAGAGACGTTTTTGAAGGCAAAGTCTGCCATTGTGTCATCCTGTCTGCTGATATACGATGAGGAAATGGAGATGAAAAGCAATAACTTCAGAACCAAGTCACTTTGAATCTGTTTCACTCTAGCAAGTGTTTATTTGGTGTGTTAGCACACAAGTAGGTCTGTGATCCAGCCAAGACCTGTCATGAAACAGCCTGGAATGTGTTGATCAATGTCAGTTTGAGACATCAGACCCCTCTGTTTTTACTAACAACTGCTCTGAAGACTGATTTAAACGCTGTATGTGTGTCTGCCATTAGCTGGCATATAGAGAGCTAATTTGATCTCCTTTCTAATTTTATTACACTTTTCCACCAACATTGGTGTGATTATTGTACATATAGATTTTTGCTGTTTATCTGACATTTTAGTATATGCCATTTTTTAACTGTACATCATTAACATAGTTTACTTCTTTAACATATACTAAATATATTCACATAATATGTAAAAAGGACTGGGAAAAAATTAACAAAATAAATTTATATGAGAATTGACAATCAAAACATAAATAAATCAGTCAAAAAAATTATTGAAATTAAATATTACAAGATACGCTCCATTACTAGAACCAAAGAAAGCCTATTTATCCAAATGCTTATATATATATATATATATATATATATATATATATATATATATATATATATATATATATATAATAAATAAATAAATAAAATATATATATATATTGTTGAAGTCAGAATTATTAGCCTGATAATATTTTTTCTTTTGGAGAAAGTCTTATTTGTTTTATTTCGGCTAGAATAAAAGCAGTTTTAAATTTTTTAAAAGCCATTTTAAAGTCCAAATTATTAGAACCTTTAAGCTATATTTGTTTTCAATAGTCTACAAACCAAACCATCATTATCACAATAACTTGCCTAATTACCCAAACCTGCCTAGTTACCCTGATTAACCTAGTTAAGCCTTTAAATGTCACTTTAAGCTGTACAGAAGTGTCTTGAAAAATATCTATTAAAAAAAAAAAAAAAAAATATATATATATATATATATATATATATATATATATATATATATATATATATATATATATATATATATATTATATATATATATTTGCCATTGTTTTATTTTTTATTTAAATATAATTTCTACATATACATATATGCTGTTGGAATTCTCTCAGAATTATTACATATATCCCATCTTATGTATTTCCTGTAATTTTTCTAGGTTTTCAAATTTGGTGAATCAAAAACACATGATAAAAATCAGATTGTATCCAATAGCAATTTACAACATATAGAGATGGAATAAATCAATTAGAAAAATAAATGCAGGCATGTTATTCTGGGAAGTGACATGCTTTTTTATCCCTGATATACAACAAATATTTATTTAATGTGATAAACCATATAAACTAAATACACAAACAAATTTCAGTAATTTTTACAGCTCAAATGTAGCTTTCACAATGAAAATTTAAACTGCACTTAATTAGCCAAATCTAGCAATTCTCTTCATAATTTGGAACAATTATTGATACGAGCAAATACATTTTTTAAAGATCAACCCGATAAAATAGCATCCCTGTTTTTAGTGTTTTATATACAGTGATGCTCAGCATATATGAGTACACCCCCCACAAATCTCTCATTAAAATGAATATTTTCTATAGGATGATTTACAATATCATATTTGTGCATATACACTAGATTAGTCAGTACTGAAGCCAAATCTGAGCTAATCTAACAAAATAATTCATGATAATGGTTCAAAAGTAGCACACCCAAATTTATGTTATAGAAAAATATTAAATACATTTTTAAAAAATTGCAAAAATCAAGAGAAACAAAAACGTATACTAAACATGTAATATCTAAATATGTTCTGTGACTAATATATATTTTTATATCTGTTATAAATAAATATATCTGGTTATTAAACCTGTTTTGTTCAAATGCCCAATATACATCACCCATATTCACTGAGAAATAAATAAAAATATAAATTTTCAAATTGGGATGTACTCAATTATGCTGATTACTGTATATAAATATTATTCTTGAAAAAGTTCAGACTTTTTCATTATGATATATATTCAGTGCGTTTATCACGGCGAATTACAGTAAACAACCCCATTTACTTACAGAAACAATTCTATTATGTTTTTAATAGCAGGCATGTTCATGTTGGATTTCCAGCAGAACTACAGACATTTATGACACTCCAAATAAACACAGAGAAACACCTACCACCAAGACGAGTCCACACTAGGAGTAAACATGAGCAGCAGTAAAATAAAGAGCAGGTAAATCCGCTGAGTGGCGCCTCTCCGTTCACGGCGTGACAGGAATCCTCCACGCGCGCGCTGTCTGTCCTTGCGCGCCGGCGACGCGCACCCAACTCCATCACACTCTGGCATATTTTAAGCGGTCAGTTTGTGATTTTTTTTAATAATCCAAAAAAAGTCACTGGATCATTGCAGTTCTTAAGATAGATACTTTATTTCTAATAAAGTAACTCTAAAAGAAAAAAAAACAAGCATCCATGTAATATTCGTTACTCTCCAATTGAAGTTTCTCATGCAACTCCCACCGCTGGAGCAAATTTAAAATGTGTGTTAAAATAGCTGTCCCGGCTCTTAATTGCGTCCGGAGCGGTCCAGTGAGTGAGGTACAGTATCTGACCAGCAGAATCAGATCTAAGGGGATATCTCTGATTGGCGGAGGTGCGTGCGCGCGCTCATTGGCTGGAGTCAGCACGATGAGACGAGATGAATGAGCGCGCGCGCCATGATGCTGTCACAGCTCCAAAACGCTGTCAGAGACGCTAGAATGAAGCACACCAGCTTTTCTGGACACCATGATGGTAATATCACGATATTATTGCAGTGTCTTGAAATAACAATAATAGAACTGAATGTATGTATTAGTGAGGTAATCATTGAGAAGTTACCGTTACCATGCGTAGGTCGTCCAGAAATTAAAATGTACTCGCCCTCAAGTGGTTGAAACCTTCATGTTTCCTTTTTCTGTTGAACATAAAATATGATGTTTTGAAATATGCTGTAAACCTAACTATTTCCCAAAGTAGGAAAAGCAAATACCCTGGAACCCAGTGGTTACAACTGTGTTCAGCAGAAAAAGGAAATCTAGTTTGTGAATTGTGATTAAATGACAGAAATGAGTTTTGGGTGAACTATACCTTTAACAAATTATTTACCAATATATTTTAAAGACAGATAGCACAAGCACTCTTTTCTAGCAAAACAAAAACACAACAAAAGAATCTATCCTTGCAACATCAGTATATAGTTTAGACTGATATGAGACCAGACATACATGCCAGACTGTCTCATGTAAGTCTATAAATAACTCAATGAATATCTTCTCAGCAAAGATAGAAGCCATTCCTCTTATATTTCTGGACGTGACATTGTCAATGTATAAAACGGTCCTAGCTTGCACATCAAGTACACACTGGTATAGATGGAGGGGAAATGCTGTAATGCAGGGTAAAAAACGAAGAGCTCCTATACATGTGAACTCAGACTCCGTCTTTTTTATTTCTGCCAAGTTCATTTAAGAAGGAAACTTAAACATTAAGAGATCCTGTAAGTTTGTGTAGCATCCGTTTGGTTCCACGACAAACAGTATGTTAGCTTAATAATCTATTTATTTCTATTTTATGATATGATATAGATTTTAAATAGAGTGCAAGATCTTTATAGTATTCATTCATTCATTTTCCTTCAGCTTAGTTCCTTTATTCATCAGGGGTCACCACAGCGGAATGAACCGCTAACTTATTCAGCATATTTACTGGGAAACATCCATACACGTTCAATTACACATACACTACGACCGATTTAGTTTATTCAATTAGTTTATTCAATTGTACCGCGTGTCTTTGGACTGTGGGGGAAACCAGAGCACTCAGAGGGAACCCACACCAACATGGGGGGAACATGCAAACTCCACACAGAAATGCCAACTGGCCCAGCCAGGACTCGAACCAGTAACCTTCTTGCTGTGAGGTGACAGTGCCAACCACTGAGCCACTGTGTCACCTACCTTATAGTATCTAATTACTAAATGAATATGTATTTGTTACATGCATCATATGGGGCAAATACCAAAAGAGGTTTTTAAGCATTAAAACGAAACAGTGTAACGTTGCTTTATTTATTTCACATTCATTAGCATTAGTTCTGTTTAATTGTATTCTTTTGTGTTATAAACAACATTATCAAACACTTTTTCCATGAAGACACTCACAGAAAAGTGAGTGAACAGTAGGTATACAGTAGGTATCATACCAATAAATGCATTTCTTGGAGTTATTCAGAACAACATTCATTCATTCATTCATTTTATTTTCGGCTTAATCCTTTTATTAATCTGGGGTTGCCACAGCGGAATGCACCGCTAGCTCATCCAGCATATGTTTTATGTAGTGGATGCCCCTCCAGCCACACCCCATCCCTGGGAAACATCCACACACACTCATTCACACTCATACACTACAAACAATTTAGCTTACCCAATTCACCTGTACCGCATGTCTTTGAACTTTAAAACCAGAGCACCCGGAGGAAACCCACGCGAACGCAGGGAGAACATGCAAACGCCACACAGAAACGCTTTGTAAGTCGCTTTGGATAAAAGCGTCTGCTAAATGACTAAATGTAAATGCCAACTAACCCAGCCGAGACTCGAACCTGCAACCTTCTTGCTGTGAAGCGACTGCAATACCTACTGCGCCACTGCATTGCCAACAATTAATTAATTATTATTTAAAGACTCAGTGGATTAGTGTTTAATTTAAGAACATTTAGTATGATTATGGTGGTTCAGTGGTTAGCGCTGTTGCGTCACAGCAAGAAAGTTGCTGGTTCGAGTCCCGGCTGGGCTAGTTGCCATTTCTGTGTGGAGTTTGCATGTTTTTCTTCCGGGTGCTCCGGTTTTTCCCTCAGTCCAAAGACATGTGCTGTAGGTGAATTGAATAAACTAAATTGGTCATAGTGTATGAGTTTGAATGAGTGTCCAAAGACATAGGTGAATTGAATGACCTAAATTAGCTGTAGTGTACGAGTGTGTGTGTTAATGTGAGAGTATATTGGCGTTTCCCAGTACTGGGTTGTGACTGGAAGGGCATCCGCTGCGTCAATTAGGAACTAAACCGAAGGAAATAGCATGATTACATATTCTTATGTGTTTTAACAAGTCGATTTAATGCCATTAAATGACTTCTATGCAAAATTACTGACGAATATTTAGGTTTACATTTATCACACAAACACTAAGCACAGCAGCATGATTAAACACACAACTTTCTTCCAAATGTGATGAGTATTGGAGCTCATGCAATGGAGACTCTCATCTGTAATAGTTTGTCGTCTCTAAACCATATAAGACAAGCGCACTTAACCCTTCGGGCCCCAGGATGTGCGCCGATAATTAGTGACGTGTGGTTTCTGTAGCGAGAGGTCAGTGCTCTCGCCTCCCCTGATTATAGCAGTGTGTGGGAGACAGATTTCAGCAGGCCAGGCATGCGTCCCTGTCGGCCTCGCAACCTCGACCTACTGTCCCAAACAGGAATGTTAATTAGCAGCATCCACCATCCCCTGACACAGAGGACATCTACAGATAAACCAGTGGAGTCAGCATATAATAGCATATAAATAGCAGCGCTGATATTTTAAGGCACATTAAACAGAAATAGTTTGCTTCTAAGATAATATACTTCATTTATGTTGTATTTACATGATGTTATTTTTAAGGCTCAAAATGATGAATCTGAATATGATATTTGCATTTGCCACCATGCCACCCTTAAAAAGTGAGTAGTCACTTTATTTTAATAAAAGTGAGTAAATCCGTTGTAACTTGGCTTGATTTAATATTTTATATTTATGCACATGACTCATTCACTCACTTTTTAAAGTAAAGTCAACTAATCACTTTAAAACCAATGGGTTTACTCACATTAAGTAAAGCTAACTAATCACTTTTTACAGTGTATATGAGGAGAAATACATTTAAATAAACAATTATTTATCTTTATACACTGTAAGACCCAGCAGTCAACTTTATCAAATGAAATTGTGTGTACTCTGTTAAAATAGTAGGGTTAAAAATACCCCAACATATAACCCAACTATAGGTTATTATAGCACCTTCTCAACTATGGGTTATTTTAACCCAGTGCATTGGTTTATATAATTTAACCCAATGTATTGGGTTAATTTGATTAAATTTATTTTTTCCATTCTGGTATTACTAATGCTACTAGTAATAGTTCTATTATTAATTTTATAATTATGCTTGTGTAAATAAATAACATACGGTTCGCAAAAATATTGAAAATGCTTCATTTCCATTACATTTTAGTTCCAGGCACTTTAACTAAAATAAATCCAAAAACACAAACAATGAAGAAACCGAACAAAGTGCAGACAGATATAAACTGAGCAAGCAGAAAATCCTGTGTTGATGGAGCAGAATATGGAGCTGTAGAGACTGTCCAGCAGCTGCAGCAGGCTTCACTCAGTGTCCACAATGTACAATACATTTTAACCACATCCAAAGACTGCTAAAAGATGTTCTTGGATGGAAAAACGGATATAAAAACCACGACACGGAGGTAATTTGTTAAAAATTAACAACAAAATTTTGTGTTGAAGCTTAAATAAACTTTATCACACAAAAACAACATTACACACGCATATTAATACAGCTGTTTTGTGTCAGTTAAATCAGTTGAAATTCAAATTTTTAACCCAACTGGTTAAGTTATTAAATAAATAACCAAATAAAGGTTAAAAATAACCCAAAAAAGCACCAAATATTTAACTCAACATGTTGAGTTATCAATAAATAACCTAATTAAGGTTAAAAAATAACCCAACAAAGCACCAAATATGTTTAAATCAACCATTGGGTTAAATAACTCTAAGTTTTTTAGAGAGTAGTTAGCTCAAAATTGACTGAAAGTTAATTCTACTGATTTTAAAACTTTTCTGACCACATTTCTAGGACTGCTCGATCTTGCAGATTCGCACTATAACATCAGAAAGGTCCGACCCTTCCTATCTGAACAACTCCTTGTTCAAACTCTTGTTCTCTCCAGACTGGACTATTGCAACTCTCTACTAGCCGGGCTTCCAGCTAACTCTATCAAACCTCTTCAGCTGCTTCAGAACGCAGCAGCACGAGTGGTCTTTAATGAACCTAAAAGAGCACATGTCACTCCGCTACTCATCCGTTTGCACTGGCTGCCAGTTGCTGCTCGCATCAAATTCAAAGCTCTGATGTTTGCTTACAAAGCGACCTCTGGCTTTGCTCCTTTTTATTTGCAGTCACTTCTGCAGATTTATGTGCCTTCCAGAAACTTGCGTTCTGTGAATGAACGTCGCCTCGTCGTTCCATCCCTAAGAGGGAAAAAATCACTTTCTCGAACTCACGCATTCAATCTGCCCAGTTGGTGGAATGAACTCCCTAACTGCATCAGAACGGCAGAGTCACTCGCTGTCTTCAAGAAATGACTAAAAACTCAACTATTTAGTCTCCACTTATCCTTCCTAATCTGCAATTC